TAATGCTTATCACGCAGCAATTGTTTTGCATGTGCAGTTTTCTCAGTTGCAATATTCTTGGTTGTGTGCCCAGTTAGATGCCTCGGAGCCGCTGCAGTTGGTGTTTAGGGACACAGAATTGGAGATGTTGGTGACATCCACCATGGCTCCATCTGCATCTCATCTTCCTTTCCCTGGGTGTGGTTTGCCCTTCCTCTGTTCCTTCCCCACCCCTGCTGGCTTTCAAGTGCCTGAGGGTTTCCAGATAGGGGCAGCGTTTAGCTCAGGATGTGGCTTGGCCAGCTTCAGGTTGCTTCTTTTGATTCATCCACATAGGCAGTTGACTCAGCTACTCAGCTAGTCCTGCAGAGGCTTCTGGGTTCTTTCAGCCAGTCCCTCCTTTTAACCCTTGTGTTGCTAAGGGCTCTTTGGCCATTGTCACCCACAGGCACATAAACAAAAAAAAAATTCTTCTCACCCTGTTAATTTCTGTTCCCTGATCACGGGAAGAATAATAAAAAAATCGTAAGTGGCATATTTTGGCCGCTACAGGGTGGGGAAGTCTGCCAAAAAAAAGGCGCTGACTCGGCATGCGTCCGAGGCGGGCTGCTCAGCCCCAGCTGTCGGGCAGGATTGGCCACAAAGATATAATTACCTAATTATTTCAATGTCTCTGATTTTTCTTCTTTTTTTTGTTTTTTGCTGCAATATTATTCAATAGTGTGTAGTGTGATATATTTATATAATAAAATGTGTGGATCATCGCTGTACTCAAAATTATGGTGTGCATATTATTGATTCAATTATTGTGTTCATAAAACAATAAACAAATACTTTGTCAGTTATTACACTATATACACAAGTTATATATAAGTATCTGCATGTTTTGTTCGCCATAACAAACCACTAAGTTGATTTTATGATCAAGAAGCAACGAGTTGTAGCCACCACGAGCGTAGCTTTCATCCTGTAACTACACTTAGGTTATTACCAGGTTATTACCACATCTTCCAATCAGCCTCTCGCTGCCACTCCCTCCCTCAGTGACTCCTCACACGCCCACATCCTCCTCCCACCATTCTGTTTTTGCTTCTATTCATTATACAGTATAAAGACGTTATATATAAGTATCTGCATTTGTGTTCACCATAACAAACCACTATGTTAGTATGCCGAGTGGCAGTGACAGCCAGTTTCAGCCCGCCACTAACTGTCCCTACCTTCATCACCTCACCTGACTCGCCAAAATTCTCCTCCCACCATACTGTTTTTGGTTTTATTCACTATAAACAGTCGTTATATATAAGTATCTACATTTGTGTTCACCATAGCAAACAACTAAGCTGATATAGTGAGTCCAGACAGTAAAAGGTGGTCATACAGAGTCAGTAGACAACACTACCTCCCTCCCCTCCAAGATTACTCCTCCCACTACAGTGCTAATTATCACAACAATCCTGCTATTATCAGAATCCTGGTCATTTTTATCACAGTCAGGGGTCTTCTGTAATACTATCATTGCTAAATAATAGTATGTACATATATTTTATGGCATTTTTAGGCGATGCTGTAGTCACAAGCTGAACAGCAGTGCTGTGAGCTCATGCTGTATGTGCCAGCCTTGGTGGCTCACTCAGTACTGGGGACCTCACACCCGGGAATGTGGCTCACGATTTAAAAAAAAAATGGCATCTGTTTACAAGAGCCCTGATGAACCCCGTGTATCCGCGGGCCGTTTAAATCTTGCGTAATACTCCAATACGTCATCTGACGTGTTGTGCAAGTTTGCGCAAGTTACTCAACACGTCACATGACGTTGACCAGACCACACACTATAAAATGAAGGGACAACGACGTTTTCGTCCGTCCTGGACCATTCTCAAGTCAATAGTGACATGGAGTCACATGACGTGTTGTGCAGTTTAAGGGTTAAGCCTCTTCTTCTGACTTCGCTTTTCTGTCCCAGGCAGTGGGCGAGAATGCTGTTTCTGGCTTAGGGGGTCTTCTTCTATGGCTTCTAGAACTTGGAGGGGGAGTTGGATTTGGGCCCTTGGGTCCCTTTCGACTCTTTAAGGGGTTCCTGGCTCCCTCCGAGGAGTGTTTTATTTTGCAAGGGGAGGGGTTTTCATATCCTCCCATCCTGTATGAGTGCAATTTGGGTGTGGGTTCCCATAGGCATCAGTTTCATGCGCCTTTGGGCCCATCGGCATCATCCTTCTGGAGGTTTCTTTCTTCTTAGGGTCCCTTTTGCAGTGGCTTGAAAGCTGGACACTCCATGTTCCAGGATGCAGTGGCCATGTTCTTTACCATCTGACTCGCATATCAACAAGCTGTGTTGCCGCATTCTTTGTATTAGGTGTGGGTTCTTGTTCTTTTGTCTGTCTTTCCCTTTTCTCCTCTCCTCTTTCCTGAGGATGATGATGTGCAGTTCCTCTTCCTGCAGTGTCACTGCTGGTGTCAAGTCGGCCCCTGATGACTTGACAGTTGCTTAAGAGGTTGTGTGGGGACCTGAATTTTGCTTGGATCAATTTTCCTTTGGGCAAGGTTTGGCTTTGATGGCTGCTCTGGTATATTTGGAACAGCATCTTTTGCCGTTGCCACGATCATTGGATGCAAGCCCCATTGGCCCTTCGCCGGCTGCTGCATTGCCAGCTTCCTCTTCGGGATTTTCAGGGTTCGGTTTTCTGGCACCTTCCTCCGCCGCCATCGCTCATTTCTTCACGGATGCCTTGGCACTGGGATGGGGCTTTGTGACCAGCGCTCACCAAGCCAGCCATGGTCGTTGGTCTCCTCTCTGTTGTTGGGTTCACAGTATGGTTTGGGAGTTTGTGGCTGTGCGGAGGCAGTGCGGAGGGTGCAGATTCCTCTGGGCTCTCTGCTCCTGTTCTATTCGGATTGTTTCCCTGTGGTTCACTTTCTCCTCTATGCTCTTGTGTAGCTGTGGGCCGGGTGTCTTCTTCGTTTTGACTTCAACAGTGCTTCCTCCTCCTCCTCCTCGGTGAGTTCCCATGTGTTTTCCTTCTTCATTGGTAGTTAGCATCAGGTAGCCACAAGGGGTTTTACCCAGAAAACCATGTGTTGAATGTAATGAAACAAATTTCTCCGTGAGCTTTGGATTCTCTAGGAACTTGCATAAGTTTCACAGAGAACTTGATTGTTTGTTTACATAGTTGGGAGAGCTCTTGCAGTGGGTTTTGAAGCTTCAGTCTCTATTGATGTCAGCAGTTATTTGTTTTGACTCTGACTTTGTTTACTTCCCTGGTGAGGTGGCATAAATAAATGTAGCTGCTCCCCGAGCCAGATTCTGGCACTGTTGTCTGGAAGGTATGATAGACCTATAGAAATTCCCAGCTGAAGTGACCTAGCACAGTATATGGTACCATATCAGTATATTGTTGAAGCTTCAGGAAACCATTGGGGCTCGTCCAGAAATTGGCATTTCATTACATTCAATGTTGTTTTATTTTTAATTTGTAAATACAAATTTTTAATGTTTTTAAGTTTTGATCCCATCTGAGTCCTTTTTATTGAATGTTGCTTATCTAATTGATTTTACTTTCAGAGATGGTCATGTTTGTTTAAATTTTTTGGAAGACAATACTGCACAGGGCTTTAAAAAAGAGATTTGTTGCTTCCTGAACCAGCTCTATGCTTAAAACTTTATTCCGAGTATTGTATTCTGCCAATCCTTAGTTAGGAATCTGGCTGTCTCATATAACTGGATTATTCGGTCAGTCATTTATTTCCCTAGTTTCAATATTATAGGAAGAAATCCTTGATGCAACCATTTAAGGTGCAGTGATTTGTCAGGGAAAATTATTTGCCATTACTGATGATTGGCCACCCAGCAAGTGTTTTGGCAGGAACTATTGAAGTTGACCTTGCAGTCCTTGACTGTAGTTTGGTCAGTTGCATAACATGAGGCTTTGCTCTCAATTCAGAGGGTTCCCCGTCACTCGTCTGTCAGGTGTTCTTCGTAGTTAATATTTCCTAGTTGTTTCCTAGTTTGAATCTTCAACATGAGTAAAACTAGTACAAGTCCTGTGCCAGATTGTTCACTTCCCACTAGTAAGCCTGTATAAAAAAAACTTATATAAATCATACCAACCTGTGTTCTGGATTACCGATTCACCAGGATTAATAATGGGTCTTAATACAGTACTATAATGCCAGCTAGGGACTATAATGAGTGCTTTACCAATGACTGTATGAGACATCCATTGATGAGCTGTTGTATGGCATCACCACAACAATTTAGAATCTCATTTACAAAAGCCTTTCTGTTTTTCAACTTGGTGTTGGTCCCTTTTAACTGCACCATATTTGAGACCCAAACCATCGTAGACTGCTGGGATAGCACGTGTGTGCACATACACACAAGTGTACAATGCTGATTATAACTTTTCATTAATTACCTCTGCTATGACATGCAGGTAATTATTGTATGTTGCTGAATATGGCCATGAGGCTTTAATTTTCTGACAATGCCTACATTTTGTTATCTAGAGTGATTACTATTTACTCCATCTCTCTCTCTCTCTCTCAAGATAATGGTGGATGCAATGTAAGATCATGAAGGATATAATACAGTTTTTCTTAGTCTATCTTTCTGCCCATTGTCATTGAGGGGTCTAAAATGGTGTCTGTATCACTGCTGGCAGGATGACTGCTATATTTCCACCTTCATAGGTGGAGCATCTGTATGACCTGCATTACCATATTCTTTGATTCCCCTACAAAAACAAAGGTATACTAGGTGGCAAATGAATTGCATGCATCGACTTGGCCACTCAACAACAATCACTGAGGCAGGAATTCAGGTAGTCATGGACACACAACTGTCAAAACAAGTATCCACTACCTGCTGTCCTGCTTTGGACACGGTAAGTAATGTCTCTGTTACCTCTTTGAGACTTTGTCTCCTGGTGAGTCACATTCAGCTCCCTCAGATTTAACAGTTTCTGGAGTTCTCCCCTCCATGGGCTTCAATAGATGATGCCAATCCAAAATTTTAAAATTTCTTTGACGTATTGTTCGAAGTCATGAATTCCTTCTCCATTACAGATACTCTTCTTCAAAGCCCAACAGTGCCTACGGGGCTTGACATACAGGAAGGAGTAACTGGGTTGAGCCTCCACCCTGATGCTGCCCTTGCACAAGATTGTGCAGGTGTGTTTATTGCCCTTCAATTACAAAGGCCCCATTCCCCTTGATTATAAATATGGTTTTGAAGAACCCACAAAAGTGGTAATGTCTGATGAACAGGAGAGTAAAGATTTTTCTCAGATGGAAATCTTAGATTTTCTCCTCCCATTTTGTTCCAAAGGTTTGATTTTAGCTTTACTTGGCAGGTACAGGTATTTCAGATACAGTGGCCCTTCCATTTACGAATTTAATCCGTTCCCAGAGATACAGGTCATAACTGCAACAGAAAAAATTCATAACTTGAAACAAATTTTCCCATAAGAAATAATGTAAATTCAATTAATCCGTTACCACACTTTCCAAAAATATTAACTTCAAAATACATTTCATACATAATACGCACACACACACACACATTTTGTACTCTAGTATGTACAAGTTATAGCTTATCTTTATTGATGACTCTTGTTGGCGTATGGAAGATGGTGAGGAGGGGGGTGGGGAGGAGGAGAGGTGTTAGTGTTTGGAAGGGGAGTCCCCTTTCATTATAAAATCAGGCAGTGATGACTTCACTGGAATATACTCTCCTAAGTTTTGCCTGCATACCACTAGGACGTGGTTGTGGTTTTTCTCACCAAGAACTTTTCCATAGAGACTTGTTTTCCCCTACATTTTAACATTTGTCTGTAGTGAGGCATCACAGTATCATTGAAAAGGTTAAGGCAACGGCCTTCTGCAGCTTGATTTGGGCGAGTCGTTTCAACAAAACTTTGCACTTCTTCCCATACTGCACACCACTTCTTAAGTGTTGAGGAACCCATGGCATGGTATATAATAATTAATTTTATGTTTAGAAAGCAAAAAAGCTGTAAAACAATGAAATTTTTTACAAAGAATTCAATCGCGATCATCACTAATTGGGCGGTCTGGTAAACTGAAGCGGGGTCGCCCATGCCACCAGGAACCACGCACTCTGTCGACCCATTCATGTATCAACAAAGTCGCAAGTCAAGGCAAAGGTCGTAAGTCGAGTTAAATTTTCCAATGAAATTGGGGTCGTAACTCAGGATAAAAATTCATAAGTAGAGGCACCAATCAAAAATTTGGAAACAAACATGACGTCATTACAACTGCCGCGCATTTGTCTGTGCAACCCTCCCCTTCCCGGGAGGGGGGGGATTGCGCAGACGGATGGAGGTCCCAGACCTCCACGCCGGCAACTCTACCCAGTTCAGAGGGTGTTGTGATGGTGAACAGTCGATCGCTCTGGCTCCACTCTTTGCACAGTGCTGCAGTGCAGTGTTGTTGCTCTGTATTGGTGGTGTGTGAGCGAGGGGTAATACAAGAATACTGGGGCTGCATGCACCTAGGGCTATCTTCCAAAGGTGCCCCGTAAGTACTGCCTTTGTGGCTTCAGGGTTATCTTCCACGAGCCGTTCAGGGGCAGCTACCTCCATGTGGTTCTGTCGCTGCTCGGTGATTGCCCGCCCAGGGGGGGTTCAGTTGGGGTGGTTCTTACTCATGTTTGCCCTTGGGTAGGAGGTAGTTTCGTCGCTGGCTGGGGCGCAAGGTACTGTGCAGCTGTCTGATATACGCATAGCGACCGGTTCTGTTCACCTGGAGATGTTGTGCTTTTGCGGGGTTTTTGTTTTGTTTTTGTTTTGTTTTGCCTAGCGGGGCTCTGCCAGGTGTCGCAATAGGACCACTAGTAGGTTTTTAGTGGCCCTCCACTAGGTCCCCGTGCTTGCACACGTTGCAGGGGTTCAGCTTATAGTTTGTTTGCTTGGTAGCTCTAGGATAACCAGTTAGCAGGACCTAGCCTGGGCTTCTCTTAGCAGTCTGCCTAAGGGCCCTGGAAACCCCCATTGGTTCTCAGTGGTCCAATGTAGGAGACCTCCAAGTTCCACCTCGCCTTGTGCGAGTTGGAAGATTGCTCTGTTCCCCTGTCTCAGGGTGACACTGTCTGCCTCTGCCTTGCCGCCTGTCATAGGTGTCAGTGAAACCTATGACCCGGAGTCCTGCGAGTGGTGTTCTTTGCTTGTACTCCAATTCACCCTGTCCACTGAGACTGATATTCGGGTGCAGGCAGCTTTAGCGTTGCATGCAAAGTTTGGGTTGCAGCAATGTGCGAGGTTGGTTGCCTTTCCAGATGCCCCGCAGCTGCCCCACTGAATTATACTGGTAGTGAGACGCGGGTGGCTTCGGGGATTGCCCCCTTCCAGATTGACAGTAGAGGCATTCGAGCCTGGTCCTCCTGCCGGAGCTTTTGGGCCACTTCAGCGGGCCCCCCCTTCATCCCTTCTTTTCCAGTGGACTCTTTTTCTCCAAAGGCAGAGGGTTTGGAGGACAGCTCCAATTCGGCTTCAGATCTCAACC